ATATATATATATATATATATATATATATATATATATGTAATCCCTTAATGATACATGGCAGCTCAGTAGGTAGAAGCCAAACTAAATCCAATCGTACAGATTTACCCAAGGAGTTCTATTCAGCCCTGTTTGTACGGGTGCTCTAAATTCATTTCTTTCGCTTATTGTATTGTTATTTTATGATTGACTATAACACTAACGTCTCGCTTTAGGAGGGACAAACGGGACTCGATATCCTTTTGTGGATAACTATTTCGTGATTGATCAATTTTGATTCCATGGATAGCAGGAACTGGAGACAGGAATTTACAGAGCTGGAAATCACCCTGAGCAACTCTAAACAGAGCGACCGAAATCACTTACTCCGCCTGATTCATCCCACTTTGATAGTCTTTTTACGCAAGAACGAGTAAGTCTTGCTATTCTGTTGTTTGCGATCATCGCTTGCCTAGGAACTTGACAAGTGATAAAATAGATCACGTATTCCGGATATACAATATTGTTTGTGTGCAGTGGAAAGAATACATTGATCCACTCATCAGTCAGGAGATTTTGGAGGGAATAAGCGCCGTCTTGTTCCGTCTTTCGGATGTGGCTAATAAACATAATCTGCCATGGAGTTGCTTATCGGAGGAGTGTTGTTTGACTCTGGCCCGGGTTATTCGGGCGTCTATCCTAGTCTCAGTTCAAAGGTAAGTTAGGCGCTTCTATTCTGTTACCGAATGTTAATTTCTCCTAGACCATCTAATGTTTTACTTTACTCTGCAAAAAATCTCCCTTTGTTGAGTCACATGTGTTCCACACTTTTGGAAATGTCCGAATTCGCTAGTTGGCGAGCCGTTCGCCTAGAGTCCCTGGGCGCATTAAAAGTTTTGTTCCGTCCGTCGGATCAAATCTCCAAGCGCAGTAGTCTTGTGAAAATCCGCAAGTCTGTGACTCATTTCTTGCCCGGAGTTTGCCAAACTTTGCATCGCATCGTCACGGGGGATCAAAAAATCGGATCATTGGTGAAGGAGGTGTGTTTTCTAGTTATTTTTTGTTTTATTTCAATTTTAGCTTTCACTTGATACGTGGGCTGTCTGTTTGACGGTCGTATTTGCACAAGTGGATCCGGTTTGTTCTCCCAACGGGGATTCAACTGCATCCGGTATGTTCTTGCTTGGTCTGTTGACCCCTTTCCTTATGTTGCATTAGTAATTTGACACAAATATCTTTTCGTTATTTATTCCCATCATGTTATGATGCTTACAAATGCTTGAGGGTCTGTAACCCAGGTTCTATTAATCGCAGATTTATGTATACGCTAAAACAGGAAAAGAGATACATTTAGACAGACAGGGTTAACATTGAGCGACTATAAATAACATAAATAACCAGTTGATATTCTGCGAAACGAACAGTCTCTTGGGCACTAAAGAATAGTTACAATATGCAGGAAGCACCATAAAGTCTGTTTGAACTGCCAACTGATCCGCGGCCTGATTTTCTTTTATCAGAACGCACAAGAATCCGTTCTGACTTCCTTGCACTATCGCCAAAGTATGTCACTTGTTGTGCATCATCAAACGAATTCTATTCAAATTCGCATTTGTGAATGTTTGCAGTGACCGATGCACCCGAACAACGAACTGGTTTACAAACAAAATTGTCGGTTTTATTAATCTTTATGCAACAAACATTTGGTCTATTTCACCTCGTTTTCTTTCCTCATAATTACCTCATTTTTCCACACCCCATTTTTTTCAACGCTAGATACCCAAGCTACTACAATGCCGAGGCCAGATTCATCACTTTTCTCAAAAGAATGGTATGATACAACAGTACCAAGGCTTCAAGTGCTGATTCAAAACACAGTGGACAACTTTCTCCATGTCCAGTTGAATTCCGATGCTGTCGATGGCGACCGTATGTCCATTGCTTTCATACGTTGGCTTTCGGCACTTCTCTCAGACTGCATACCATCGATAGAAAGACAATTGGCTCTGCCCCTGAGGAACACGGTGGTCAGTGGTTTAGTTTCACTGGCTGCTCGAAATTCCCCGAGCGATTGGACCGAGAAAACCCTAGAAACACAAGGTAGTGTTTTGGCCAGGGATGCGCTCTTGCATTTTGTTAAGAGGTCAGATGAACCAGTTACCGGTAGTTCTTTGCCAGAAGCATTGAACGGGAGCCGGCTGATCCGCAAAATCACCATCGAAGCCGTTTCCAATCAGATTGCGTTGCTCACAATGCACATGCCCATTTCTGTCGGTAAGTTCTCTTATCCGTCACCGATTAATTTCAGTGAGATTTTTCCTTATTGTTATTATTTCAAGATCAGTCTTGATTCTGTTTTGATGCAGGCAACCGAGTAATATTCCGTTCGCAAGCAAACTATAGATTAAGTTTAGAGTGCTGAAGAGATGGATTAGATTATGTGGTGAATTTCGTCTTGTATAGAGCACATGAAACAGGAACTGAAAAGCTAATGCTAGATGTGATGCCAGCAATACGCTTGCAAAGATGTGTTGTACCATACTATGTATAGACGAAATAAAAAACGGTCTGATCAGCTGCCCAGTGATCAAATGGGTAGTATGCTATCTGTAAGGCCCGGAGTTCGACCTTCAGTTACGTCTATGATTCCGCACTGGTATATGTCGTACAACAAGTAGTATCCGAATAACTCAGCGAAATTTCTCTGGAGGCACACACTGAAAATCAAATAATTAGAATGTATCCAGGAGAATTTAGTGGCCCTGAGAAATCCCGCTAGAGCGGCACATTTTCTCACTCATTATTATTATTACTCGGATTAACGGGCCAGTTAGCCCATCTAAATGAGCAGAAAAACCCTGGTCTCAAACCAAGAAAGACACTTAGGAGTGGATTCCATAATGCTCTGGTCGCGATGATCACCGACTAGAGTAAGTAATTGGATGCAAACGGCACCTTAGACATGTAAACTGCTTCTGGATGATGTAAGATCATATAACAGCTAGGCAGATTTTGAAATTTTCCAACCGAGTCATAACCCTAGAGGCTACTGCTGAGAATAGCAGGGTACGTTGTTCGCAAAAGAGCTCGCATAGATGAGCTGTGCTGTATCGTGTATATTCCAAATGAGAAACGGTTTAATCAGCTGTCCTTTGGCCGAGCGGATAGTATGCTTGCGTTCTACCTGTGAGGTCCCGGGTTCGGTCCCCAGTTAGTTCGATGGATTCGCACTACTCGGATGAGACCCAACCATGTCGAAACAGCTGTCCAGTGCTTCTTAGCTTTCCAACTTTCGCCTCATTTACACGAAAAATTCATCATATGACACAAGATCCGCCTGACTGGACACTGTTCCGAGTGGGCCGTGATTTTCCGACTGTTTTCTCGGCCTTACAAATCGTGCTTTTGTTAACTGGAGGTTCTGGTTTTGATTCCTAAGAAAACTACTTGCTTTGGCTTGGGTAACTTAGCAGTGTTGCACCCGTAGACAAAAACGAATCGACTTTTTTTGTCTTCGAGAATCGTTCATCATGATCAGTTTGACACAGTTTGGACTCGGGGAAGTCTGGAGTATAAAATCTAAGTATCTAGAAGAAATTTGAACAGGAGTGCAAAGTTCTTTATGGGAAATTACACCAATCCCTAGGGCTTGTAGTTATTGAGTATAAAACTAGCGTTAAGCAGAAAAGGTGTCTTCTTGTGAAAACCAAGCAGCAATTCATCGTGATTGTACGGTCCATCTCTTTGACTGTACATCACCAAGATTCTAGCAATAAACGAAACGGTGGATTATATTGCGCACTATTGTGCATTGATTGAGGATTTTTCCAGTTCTGACGCGTTGAAGGAGCGGAATAGTTTTACTGTCATTTGCCACATGCATTTTTCTTCCCTCCATTACGCTCTCGTGGAAGACGAAACTCTCATACAAAATCGACTACGGTCTATTCATGGATATCTGAGTGTGATGGGTAAGTTCTGAGTGGTTCACCCGCGTATCTATTTATTTTTTGTTCGTATACACTGATACATCACTATGTATCCGAGACCCCATGGTACGCATATTCCCAAAGGCCCAAGTCAAGATAGCAGTTGTGTTTTGTCTTGCCAAGACGATATGATCGATACGAACGCCTCTTGACTAGGCCCGACAATTGGAGAGAGAGAAAGGACAATCAAAGTATATTATTGATCATTGTGTTGTATTGTAAAAACTTCTGCAAGCATTAAGCCTACATTTCAGTTAAAATATACAGCTGAGAGCAAGGGAGAAAATAAAAATAACAATGTAAAAAGAGATATAAATCCCAAAACTGTTAACAAAGTCTGTGACAACCTGTTCTTTGTTAACAAGAATACGTGCTACTGAGGGTACTGTGGAGTTACGATAAATGTTTATTGGAGAGGGAACACAACGATATTGTGATCCAGTTGAGGGATGGGAACAACAGGAGGTGAGATCAGCGTGTAGCAAATATGTGGAGTCGATGAGAATCTTGTGCAAACTTCACAGGCATGCAAATGACGTTCGCATAGATCAGTTATCAACTCCCTCAGTGGGACTGAAGAGACACGGCTAATGGTGGTCAATCCACGTCGAAGCAAATTAAACTCCTTCTTTAGGAGGTTGGGAAAAACAACAGGTGAACAATAAAGTACAACGGGGAAAACACTCTTTCACAAATTTGGATGATGAAGCAATACGCAAATACAGGTGGTAAGTAAATCGTACGAGAAACGACGTGATGATGCACCAATCACATTGTGACCTTGATACTCCGATTGGTTGATCGGACGACAGCTGTCTGATTCGTCTTAGTCATCCAATCCGCAGTTGATTCGGCTTGGGCGTCACGAACGCACTTGTGGTGTGACGCGGGTCGGTGCGTGGCCGGACGGATTTCTGTGCGCTCTGTCCTAACATGTTGTGTCACTGATGGGTCCAGCTGACAATCAGTCCAGTGGTGATCAGTTGCTTGCAATTACCAATTGTATCATCGACTTGGGCCTTTTTTGAATCTAACCCTTTGGGTGTCTCGGAGATACTGATACCCCAATATATCTATGAATGACCTCAGGCAGACTAGATACTACCACTGTGAATAGCAGAACAAAAGGTTGGGGAAATGTAAAACAAATGATTTGGATTCTATGTTTGCTTCACACTACGCGTCTTTCTTTCCTCCTTTATACGGTTCGTTGGTTATGAGGATTCCCTGAGGATCTTCATGAGATTTGTCATTCTAGTTTCGATTTTCAGTTACTAATCATCGACACTCATCATGCTACAGATCGCAGCCGGATAGTCGTGTAAGATAGACCGAAACCGAAACTATTGTGAGCTTCTTCCCAATCCCACATCCGACCACGGACAAAGTGACCATTGCAATTGTTTAGGGCGAACAAAATCGGGAAGATTTGACTCATCTTATACGTTAAGTCTTTCTGGTAGGCACAGTGATATAAAGACTAAGTTACTTTACCGATGCTGTGTAACGGAGATACAAACACTTAGGCTATTTGCATTCTTAATTAATTCCGTCACACCAATTTTTATTTTCATTTATTGTTCATTAAACGTGCCCCATCATTTAATTTATTTGTTATCCGTAGTTTTTGTTACACACAGTAGTTTAATTGGTTTTTAAGGTAGCAAAAAGATAATTCACATAGAAAGCCGAACCATTCGGTTCCAGGACTCCAATCTACTTGCATACACGATGGACTTTTGTAAATTTATTTGCCTATTTATTACTGCTTTTCTTCGTGATGCATTTGTTTGCAGATGCAAATAGTTTATCGGTTTTGGCCAGTTCACGTGATCTGTTGCACCGGTTTTGTGCTGGTTTGGCCGAATTTCTCGCATTCCACATCAGTTGCGTCGAACTGTTTGGTGATTCATCAACCAGCGCAAATTCCCTCACGGGTAAGTGGCCTCTAACATATCGCACTAGGTCATATTGTTTGCCCTTAGGTGTAGATCCAAGACAATATTTTTTTAACGACATCCATTTGATTCAAGTTATTGACTACGGCCAATCGCTGACCAAGAAGTAGGATAATAGTCGAGCGGCGATGGGGTTCGAACACGTGAACCACACGGAACTGAAAACCTGTAGCAATCTGCCACCGCTATCCGTACTTACGGTTGTCTCAACACATGCGATTACTGATGATTCAACGATTAATAAGAAAACTTCAAATCCCCGGGCAGGAGCTGTTCATTCAATGTGTTGCATGGGACAACCCTTGTGTTATCCATTGAAAAAATAGGACGCAGAATGTTCACAGCGGATGGATTTTCAGGATTGTTTTTCTTCAAATTTTAGTTCATCTGCTTGTCTCCCATAACTGCGATTCACTGAATGTCCTAGTAAACGTCACACTATCGTTTGGACCTTGCGTTTCAGTTCCGGGTCGCCAGCGGTGTTCTATACTTTCGTGACCCTCGACGAAGAAGTTCGACCCAGTCCGTCATTAAAACGAGTGAATATGCAAATTTCTGTTAAGATTCACATTATTGTTGCCGCATCATTTGATGTCGTCTTTTGTCAGTTAATGCCGGTTGCGTGTCTTTTGCTAAACTGCATTTTATTAGTGATAGTGGTGGTGGTGTTATAGTTTGCTGTCAGTGGTGTCAGTGGTGGGCTCTGGGTTTGAAGATCCGTAGGTCGAGCTCCGCCACGGACAACGAATTTCGGCGGTAGGTAGATTTACTACCACATGGCTCACTGCTGCACATTGGCCTTTTGAATTTGCTGCTATTCCTCACTAGTTTAGGTCACCTGTTCCGATGGCTCAAATTTGGCCCCTTTTGGCTATCAACCTTACCGTATCTGTTATTTGGCACTACGTGTCGTACGATTACAAAATACCAGACATCAACACCAAGCAGCACTAGTTTACCCAGTTAGCTTCTTCTTCTGGATTCACGATTTTTTATTTTTTGTTTATGGTGCAGTAATCAGTAGAATCAATGCCTAACGAAATCAATCTGCCTTCCACAGTTTGACTATTTACATACACGCGCACAAATATTAAGCTTTTGAAGACATAATTACGCATGGTAAAGGGGTTTGGGAGAAAGAACATCTTGCCCCGTGTACTTAATAGCAGCCTTCTTTAATTGTGGTATAATTCCACAAGGCGGTGCCTGGTCGAGGATAGTTGTTTATTACAGATTACAGTTGGGATGTCAATAATTTGGCATACATATAACCGATATCTCATTTGAAACATGTCATCACAATTCCCGGTAGCACACAGGGTAGTGAATGGAGAAGTCCGTAGTCTTTCTTTGGGGGTTAGCAATTCACCGCAGTGTCTTGTCAACCTTTGATCGTTGAAGGAAATCGCCAACCGCACTATTTTGCATACTACTCATATTTGTGAGCAGTACCTCACAACAGTTGTTGTGAAATGTCCCTAGCGGGGTCCTATGTGGTTCGCCACGTCAAATCCCGGGGCTTAGGTTATTGGGTTACATCACTGAACAGCAGGTTTTCATGACTAGGACTCAGCCCGTCCGCTGTTTATCACACAAGGTTATGTAATAAAAGAATACGGAGTCCCTGTAATTATGGATGACGTTTGTCCTAAGCCAAATACATTGAAAATGGTCATGGTTCTCGCTGTGTGAAAATTTCCTCTCTTTTCTGTTAACCGTTTGTTCTTTCCGTACCAGTCTTACCCCCGCATCAAGGCAATCGAATTCGATTCCCAAATACATTCGTCAAATCGTTCCAACAATTTCGGGATCCGAAGACGTTGCTGATGGTCCAGTCTGTGGCTGCACGGATCGCTTCACAAGGTTAGTTTTCACCTAGCCTCAAATCGTATTTTTTGTATCTCAAGTGGGACATGTTCCATCACTCAAATATGGTTCAGTGGGTTTTCGGCTCACTATTCACAAACACCTGTGGGTAATGGTGTCGGATAAATGTTGGTGATTTGGATTGATCAGACTTCATCTTCACACGTTACTCTCAATTCCCCTGGCTATAATCACAATCATTACTATGTTCCTGTTCCTGTTTCAGATGATACAGTCGATTTGTTTATGGAAACTTGTCAAGATGTGATGCTTCTCAGTAGCGGATTACATCGTAATCCCTGTCTTCTACTTATGCTGTCCGGTCTTGCGGGATACTTGCATAACGGTACGTTTCATTTTGTTGGGTTTGTTTTGGTTTTAAATTTTTCACATTTCTGGTGGGCTTACTTTCAACATTGAGGATGCCTTCCCCCAATCTGGAGTGATTTTACACTGAAAACAAAGGGTGTGAATAAGCTCAAAACTGAATAAATGCACTAGCGTCGCCTTAAGACACCCATCCGTTTCATTTTGTGTTTGCAACTATCGATTACGTTGGTCACATGGGACCTAACCGGGATCCTAGCGCGAATTACTCGATGAGGTCTCTTGGTCGAAATTTTAACCCCTTTGTGCTAAGGTAGGGTATACCGCCCCTCGTCTTCTTCTACCTACTGCTTGTGAAGACAGGCATCACACTAAGGAGGAGTGTCCAGTGTTAAATGCATCACATGGTTCAATCACTGCAATCCGCAGCATTTGCGTTAGTGCGCAAACACAGTTACCCAATACACTTCGCCTAAACCCATCTGTTTCACCTGTGACATACAATGCGGCATCGACTGCAGCGTTCAACCACAAATGGTCTATGTTTATCCTCTTCCCCTAACGCTGAAGCTTCTGCACCGTGTGACAGCACCGGCCGAACTGCTGTGGCACCACGCACTTGGCTCTTTACACACAGCCGATTCGAAAAGGTCTTAAATTAGAAAATGCTAATCGGTACTTCGGTGTGTGTTGTGGAACATCACTCGAGATTCGTCCACCGCAGGAGATATGATTGCCTAGGCAATAAAATTTTTCCACTGGAAAGAAATATAATGTAGTATAATCTTTACTCACTCTTACTGATTCACCGAATCATTAGTAAATTCAATGAAATGAAAAACGAAATGAAACTCTTTCTTTTGCATATCATTTGTTCTCGGTTTCTTTAGCTCTGTGTGTGTGTATGTGCAGCAAACTAGTAAAATAAATGTATTGCTTTTTCCCGTCTGCTTCTCGCTCCTTTTGTAGATTCAGTTTCTCGGGAACAGCGTCAGATAGAAAGCCTGTAAGTGTTATTGTGTACTGTAGTACAGTACTAAACTGCATCATTCTCTTCGGCCATATGCTATATCGCAGTTATGATCTTATCAAATCGGAACTTTCTGTTCAAACTGCCTGTGATCCTGGTACAATTGTGCATTTCTAACTGTGATAAAAAAACGCCTTCTGACAGTATATATATATATATATATATATATATAGCCCTTCGTCGGTGTGGGCTACCGCGAAGTATGCCGTGCCCTAAAGTCTTAGGCACCCATTTGGAAAGCGATCCTTCCCTTCTGACTAGTTCTTCTTCTCAACCTCGATTAATCCCAGATGCCTCCTGTTTACGCCACTCATCGAATATCACTCAGCGTTTTACCATCAAGGCCAGAGATTCNATCCCCTTTTCACTTGGCCGCGTTCAATGTCTGCACACACTATTAGATTGGCCAACAAGCTGCCCTGGCTAAAACTCTCGAAACTGTTATTGCAGATGTATGTTGTGTCTCCGAAACACGCATTATCTCTCTGCGTTCTCCTGAACCAACCTCAACCTCACCCTTGGTGTGTCAAGCGATTCGGCATCCGAAGCTCGTGGTGTTGCTGGTGTCGGGATTGCGCTAAGTGCCAAGG